ATTATAAAATTAATTAAAATCATTTCTTCTAAAATTACTGTCATCTGAATGACCACAACAATCTGCCAGTGCTTACTATCAATATTTTCAATCATTTTCCATAATAAATTAACAATCTATTTGGGATGGCATGGGGGAGAGATAATCTCTTCTTCTCTATCTATAATCCTTTTCTCTGAAATTACCAATTCCACTATGACTACTGAAATAGGCTGGGTCATCAGTTTCAAGCCTTCATTCATCTTCCTTCACCCATCAATATGATAATAACATCATTTATAGTATCTTCAAGGCTTACAAAGTGTATTTGCAAAGGGTACATTTCCTTATTTTAGCCTTGCCACAGCCTTGTGAAGTGTGTACTTCAGGTATCTTTTCACTTACAAGTAAGGAAAGACTGAGATTCAGTGACTTGTCCATCGTCACAAGATAGTACCAGAGGCACAATGGAAACCCAGATCTTCCTGACTTTATCATATGATCCCTGGCTCCCTCTAGAGATGGGCAAACTGTAGAGAACTCAAGAAAGGCTCCCCAACTAACATCCAATCAACAGTATCTTTGAGAAATGCAAGTTGGCATCTCTTTCAGAGTAGTGTGGATGAATTTTCTGCTCTCGGAATATGTCTGAGAGAGACAGATAAAAGAGGAGCACCAATTATGAAAGAGCAAACCTGCCAAAAGCACATGTGGATGTGTATACACAGGCATTTATATACCTATATATGCACAAAGACACATACATATAGATTATTTCAAAAGTCCACTGGTTTCACCAGACTCCCCAAGGGATCCATGACACAAAAAAGTTAAGAACTTCTGGCCTAAAGGTTGCATTTACCTTCTGCAAACGAAGAGAAAACAAACTTTTTTTTCCAGTTAGGATTGCCAAGAATGCATTGTATTCAATAGAATATAAACTCCCTGAGGGTAGATATGATTTTAGTTTTTGTCTTCATAATAATCCCAGCACCAAAGATAGTTTCAGGCATATGGTAGGCATTAATAAATGCTTGCTGAGTAAATGAAGAAGTTCGTAGGAGATTGACTTAAAACAAAAAAAAAATTGATAATTTAAAAAAGATAAATATCCACTACTTTTTGTATCTGATACCACCTCATATTATTCAACTCTATTCAACTAAATGAGTTCCTATTAAATGCCACTAAGGTGCTTTGCAGAAAGAGAGCTAAGTTCAGGGGATACAATGATAACAATGAAAAATGAAAAATGCCCTTGGGGCTTACATTTTCTTTGGGGCATATAAAACGTACAGACAAATATATTCAAAAGAAATGAATGAATAAAAGGAGAAGTGGAGCAGCACTAGGTACCAAGAAATACTCACTAGATGATATCCAGAAGAATGGTGAAGAACATTTGGATAAGAATGAACAGGGGGATAAAAAGTGACACTTAAATGGGAACATGCTAACAACTACCCAGAAAGGATTATAGAAGACAAAGCACAAACCTGGTAAGGAGGCATGATACTGCAGCGATGGGAAGAGAATCAGTCAACTACCTGGACACATGCTGGAGTATTCACTCTATCATAAGGAGACCAAAAGATAAAACTATGACTTGCCTTAATGATAATTTCACAAAAGCAGACAATCTAAAAGTTGGAAAGGACCCCAAAGGCTACCGAGTCTAACTTGTACCTGAAAAAGAATCATTCTTTCCAAGGTTTACTACTTTTTTTTCCCTTTGGAGGGAGGGAGGGAAGAAAAGGAGACATGTTTAAGAAGAAAACAATTTTAAAAAATATTTATTATACATATACACACTTTTTTTTACAGTTACTTCAGTTAAAGTAGCAATATATACATATGGTGTAACTCGCTTAAGAAAATTATTGTTTCTGAAGCCCACGTTAATTTAATTTTTATAATTAGAATATATTTGAAATACACTGAGATTTCACTATTTTAAGGAGTCCTATGATGATTCACTTAGCAAAACAACAAAAAAATCATGTGGTACAAAGATTGGTTTTTGGTGCAGAGACCTGTGATTTCATTAGTATAGAGAATTCTAGTTGTGAAAATACCCTCACTAGTAAAAACTGCTGACTCTTCTGTCATTTGTAGCCTTTGTGGGTTGCTTAAGGTACTGAAAGTTCAAATGAGTTACCTCTGATTAGGGGCAGGACTTGGAGTCAGTCCTTGATACTGTGGTCAAAACAGAACAAACATTTCTGCCTTAGCGGCTTCAAGGAGCAATTATGAGCCTGGCTGACATCACACAGGGAACTTTAATTTTTGGACCAAGTCTCTTTCTAATTACAATCTGTTGGTTTTCAATTGGAAAAATGGTTTGTTTGTTTTTCTCCAAAGCTACCAGTGATCTCTCAATTTTGAAACCTAATGACCTTTTCTCTATCCTCATCCTTCTTGAGCTTCATGAAGCAATATCGGGTTAACCATCCTCTCCTCTTGGATACTCTCTCTTCTCTGAGTTTTCCTGATCCTGTTCTCTCTTAGTTCTTGCTCTCATTGTCTGACAGCACTTTTCAGGTTTCCTTTACTGCAATCTCATTTATGCCATGCCCCTTCACTGTGGTGCACACTAATGCTCTACCCAGAGCCCTCTTCTTTCTATATATTCTCTTTAGGTGACCTCCTCAGTTCCCATGAGTTAAATAATCATCTCTATGACAATGACTCCCAAATCTACATATCCCACCCGGCCTGAGCTTTAGTTCACATTAAAAATACCTTTTGGACATTTCCAACTCTATGTCTTGCAGGCATCTCAAACTATACACATCTAATAGGAAACTCATTAGCTTTCCCCAAAAACCCATCCCTCATCAGTTGTCACCTAGACTATTACAAGTTTCCTAACTGGTCTTCCTACATTTAGTCTCTCCTCTCTATAATCTGTCCATCACACATTTGGCAAAGTGACATTCCTAAAGCCTTGGTCTCACCATGAGGTATCCTCCCTTCTCCATAAACTCCACCCCCTATTGCCTTTAGGATCAAATACAAACTTCCCTGTTCGTCATTCAAGGACCTGGAAAGTAGGTCCAATTTACTCTTCCACGTACATCATATATTCTTCTTTAAACTATCCACAATCCAGCCTAACTTCTGGTCTTGCTGTTCCTCATATACAACATTCCATCTCTCATCTCCATGCCTTTGCACACACTATCACTAGGCCTGGTACACACTCCCCTTTTCGTCCTTTCACCTCAGAGAATCCTGAGCTTCCTTCAAAGCTCAGCTCAAGCACTACCTCCCTCTTGAGGCTTTTCCTGATTCCCAGGTTCCTGGTGTCTTCCCGGAAAGCCGCCTGACATGTTTACTTTGGATTCGTTTTGTATAAACTTTTATGAGTAATGTTGTTTACCCCAAAAGAATAGAAGCACCGAGGAGGCAGGGTCATTTCCTTTTTGTCTTTGTCACCCCAGCAACTAGAAGAGTTCCGAGGCCCCCATAAGGGGCTTATTGATTTAATGATCTTGAATGAAAATGCTGCTATAGTCTGAAAGATTTTATCTTCAAGGACGAACTTGTTTTCAAAGAACAATTTTCTCTAAGCAATAGACAGAGATACCTTTTCCCCCCAAAGATATGAATTTGGTTCTATTGTATTTTACTTCTCAAGCCATCAGAAATTCAGCCATGCTGCTTATGCTGACTAATATATTTTAAAAAAGGAAAATGCATGACCCTTAGACATCACAAAAATCTCTCTGGAATATGTAATGCTTATTTTCTTTTGTGGTTGTGTGTTGTACAGTCAAGAAACTGAAAAATGGATGAAATGATCACACTAGACCTTCATCTCTTTTGGTGGAAAAATAAAGTAATAGATAACTCCAATTAGAAACTATGGATGAGACACAAAATGAATAAAAGACCTCATAAATTCTTTCAAGAACAATCTAATATTGGCTAGTCACAAGAAATTCTAAGGTTTTGAGAAAATGTTAAAAACAAAAACTACAGGGGAATGGAACAGTGTTCCATTAGTATATTATATTTACCTTTTGGTTTCTATTATTTTTAAAAATCTCAATACAGTTTTCATCACAAAAAGAAATGCTACATTAATTACAGTGCCTAGATGATAAAATACAAGTGAGAGGGAAACATAAGTGTGTGAGGGACTGTCTGATGTTGGCTACTGCCAGGTGAATGTTGTGGCAAGATTGGGGTAGAATCTGGGTATTTGGAAGTCGAGGCAGGGGCTGTGGTAGGCGGAGTCATGGTGAACTGGGATGGGCTGGGTACGGAGAAGCCCTGAGGCAGTGGGCAGTGCTATGTGAGATAAGCTGGGTGCAAGGAAGTAGCCGGAGCATGTGCTCCTGAGGCAAGGGGCGGTGCCACGTGGGAGTGGGACGGCAGAGGACGAGTTCCCTTTGCTTAGTCCCCTCCCTAAATGCAACGTCAACCCCAGACGCCTCCTTCCTGTGACCTTCCTGACTTCCTAGGTCACGTACTCTTTGTCTATGCACTAATCCCAGACGCCTCCTTCCTGTATCCGGTCCTAGCCTCCTGCGTCACTCCCTCTCCCTTGGTGCGCTAAACTCAGACAGCCCCTTCCGGTATCTGACCCTACAATCATTGACTAGTAGGCGGGCTGAGGAGGAGGGGCTAAGTAGGTTCTGAGGAACGGTTGTGGTTGGGAACGCTCTCTCTTTGCTCCTGCTCTGTTGCTATGGCCTTCCTGCTTGGCCTTGCTGTGATGGCCTCTGAATAAAGCTCAGGTGTTGGCAGCCTCCTGATGGGTTGTCTCTGTGTGTGTATCCGGGTAGGCACCGAAGACTGGTAAGTAAGTATGACTCTGGCAGCCTGCTCCTTATAGGAGGAGAGTGTACGGCGCGGCCGGCACAAGGTCGGCGCAGCCGGTACATAAGTGTGTCTGAGAAATGTTAAAATGACAACAGGTATCACTAACAGAGTTTGGATACAAATGGCAGACTGTGAAAAGAAACTGTAACTCAGCATGGATTAATCTTTTAGGATTTATTTATCAGTAAAAAAAAAAAATCCCTCACTAAGCAAATAAAGAGCTTACTATAGGTATGCAAAAAATAAACTCCCCCGAAGTCTTCACCAGGATGAAACAGGATTAGCTTTGTAGTTCTTGTAATCTTCTTCACAGAAAAATGCAATTTCAGTTTCATTGGCTGAAAAAAGAAAAATAAATTTGTGAAAATTTTTAATGAAAAGTTAAGTTTAAACCTAAAACAGGAAACAAAGGTATACTGATTCAGAATTTTAGCTTCCAGGGCTCTTAAGTGAGAAAGACAAGTATAGATTTTACTGAATATAGCACAAGAAAATGTTTTTGTTGAAGAGACAAATAATGTGATAGAGCACTGGAGCTAGATTCAAATCCTGCCTCAGTTATTTACCAGCTATATGATAATGGACAAACCACTTAACCTCTCAGAAGCTCAGTTTCCTTTTCTATAAAATGGGGATAATAAAAATTGCTTTACAAGGTTGTTGCGATAAATGAACTCCATAAACCTTAAAGCATAATGGAGATATAAGTTATTTGCTTAAAATAATTTTTGGTTTATAAACATTAAAAAATCCCAAACAATTATAAAAAGAAAAAAAAATCACCCAAACCAGTTCAAACATGAGCTATGGGGCGCAATATGGATGGTTTTTAGAAAATCACCAGTGCCCCTTCATTGTTCTCCTTGTAGTTCCAGGAAATAATGGACCTTGATTTTTCAAGTTCACTATTGAGTTAGTGAGAAGGGGGAAAAAAAATCCTCCTTTTTTTTTCCCCCTGAAATTAGCCTGTAGGTATAATAATTTAATACTTAGAGGATCAGTAGAATATTTTACAGATCACTTTACATTCTCCCTCATGACCCATCAAAATATGTGTCTGAAGAAGTTAATTTTTTGCCCTGCTTATGATTAATTCATGAGGCTTCAACAATATGCAAAGTGAAAGACACAAATTGGCTTCTACAGCAATACCTTCAAATACCTCTAATTATTCACAGGGGATATGGCACAGCTACAGGACCCACAAAGGTTCAGAGCAGTCACAATTCTTTCAACCTAACAGGTCAAGGACTTCTTCTTCTAAAACAATAAGTCAGCATCATTATTAATTCAGAACTGAGACAAATCTGATGGAAAGCCTTCACAATTATTAAACATGCAATTCTTTAAGGTGTGGAGCCAACAAGTTTCACAATCGCTTTTTAAATTAAGGCAGAAGTTAATACAGTCTGCTTGGCTATACAGAAAGGGCAAGAAGGTTTTCAGAATCTTGACTAGAAAACAGACAAGATTATTTGTAATGAATATTGAGCACTTTATTAACATATCTCCTACTCTAAAAGAGACATACAAAACTCTACCAAATATACACTAAAATAGTAACAGTAATTATGAAATAGAATCCTTAAGCAGAGTTAGCACTTTGGTTTCAAAATACACAATTTCAGTGCCTTAGAATTTATCACCAAAAATGTTGGTAAGTTTTAGCATGCAATTTCATTTGATTTTTTTTATAACATCCCAGGGATGAAATTTAATCAGAGTAGCTAAAAATCAGATTGCAAAGATCAAGTCACACTGGGTCTGTGGGTGGACTGCAGATAGCACTCAGAAATCAATGAAAGGGTATTGGAGACAGACTGAACTCCTGGAAAACATTTCTAATTTAAAGTGAGCTATGGCTCATAATGAAATAATTCCAAAAAGGAGTTCAAACTTAGCATGAAGAAAATGTTGAAAAAGAAGACCTTTACCTAGTTAAAGAAATTTAATATTACAAGAAAATAAAATGTTTCAAAACTGATCCCAAAAGCATAAAAAGCACTCAGGACTTTTCCCCTCCCAACATACCCAAAGGGGTAGCTTATATATAATTTGCAAGTGATTCTAATTAAACTTATAATGAAAGAAAGGCTAGAGATTTCACCTTCTTAATTATCATAAAACAAGTTTTTACTAATGTAACAGTCTATTATTACATGTAACACTTTACAAATATAGCTATGTTTATAGCAATCCACTTAATAAATTTGTTGACTATCACTACACATTTCTTTTATGGTGGCCAATGTTACTCTACATAGTATTTTCACCTACGATTACAGGTGTAGATTGGGTTAACATATGGAAAGTACTGACAAATAGAATGATGTTCTGACACATGGCTTCTTTCTCAGGTCTAAATAATTTATAAATCAACACACTCTTTATATAGGCATTTAAGTACTTTCTAAGACATCAGATCAGAATTATCTTGGGAAAGAAGGTAGTAAAATGATGTTCCTATTCTTAGGTACTTAAATTTAACAATCCTAAAAGACAAACTTTTTATGTGCTTCTAAGCTTGCAGACAATTTTTTCTCCATGACAAATTTTTAAGCTTGAAAAATTTTGGACATGAATTTTCAGTATTTAGTATGAGAGGTTGAGATTTCCTCCCTCACTAAACCAACAAAAAACATTCCAAAAGTCAAAACAGCATTTATTTAAAATTTAGAACAATATGGTCCTCAAGTGACAAGAGAATTAAACTTATAAAATCGATACAACCCTAATAATAAATTAACTTGTGAATTCCTATACATGTTCTAGAAATTTACTTGCCAAATTAAATATATAAGAAAAAAATGTATAGCTTCCCTTTCAAGACCCACTCCCAAATTATCCTTATCCTTCCTACCATAATTTCTTAAATTCTTGCTTCTTACTACCTTTAAAAGTGGCTCCTAAAAGAACTGCAGGAAGCCTAGCAGTGTGATGGTCCCTGAGGGCACTCGATTTTAAATTAAATGTGCTGTAGGCTGCAGTGCACTCAGGTGCACAAGCCCCCGGCACGTGAATCTGAAATGAATGTGCAATCTAAAATCCAATAAATACATTGCCAGCTCTTCCCCTTGTCTTACTATCAAATAAAACCAAGAAAGTAAGAACCCCCAAATCCATTTATGGAACATTATAACAATGACCTTCAAGTTTAATTAGCTGAACAGAAATTAGGATATCCAAACTAATAATCTAAAGTAAATTATTCACTATACTATTTCCAAATAGTACATATATTTTTCTTAACACTTAAAAAACTCTTCTGGGAACTTTAAATTATCATTTTAAAAATCAAATGCAAAATAGACTACCTAAGTCAACTTTTCTGTCAACTAGCCAACTAAACAATAAGAATTCATTGAAGTCATATTCTATGCCTAACTCTATGTGAAAGATTTATGGAATACTAGAGTAGATTCAAACATCATTTCTGTCCACAAGGAACTTACAATCTAGTGGAGGAAGATAAGATATAAACATGAACTACATAGTGAACAAGAAGCTATGATAAGGTGCTAAACTGTCTGGTTCAGATAATCAAAGAACAAAACAATAAATAATAAGGTGCTGATTATGGGGCACAGGAAATAAATGGGAAAGGAATTATTGAGTAAAGGCAACAATGGGGTTTTTATATAGTAATTTCATATAGAAAGGAAGGTGTTTCAACTCAAAGCAAATATCTTATGCATCCAATCTCACAAAATTCAGATGCACAAGCCATTCAAAAGTTTGTCAACAAAAGAGCACTATCCAGGTAGATCAGCAATCTAAATTAAACAGGTTCCAACTACAGAGTTCAGTCCTTGATCTGAAATTGAAATGTGAAGAAAGAGTACAATCAAAAGCTCAGTTTCAACATTTACTATACTAGACATATGCTGAATAGATAGAGGAAGAACAATCTATGACAGTTCTTTCAAACCCCTGTTATTGTCAATTTATGAATATTTCAAATTCCCCCGTCCTAACTTCTTATTTAACTGAGGATGAGGTTATACTAGTATTAAGGTGACAAATAACTACCTAAACATGTTAGAGGGAGAAGACAAAATAATCCTTAATGAAATACAAATTAAATATGATTTTCACCATTAATGAGAATAGCATATTACTGTGTTATTAGATATATATATAAGTGACACGATTTTTAGCATGAAAAAGGGTTCTGGTAATGAGTAGAAGACTGAAATGACACTCAAAATGAAAGCATACCACAAGGGAGTTTTGGAATCATTACAGAAATATGCTCAAAGTGAACTCCCTTCCTTTTTCCCCCCTCCCAAAAAAAATCCTAATAACCTCTCAGTTTAGCCTACAATATCTTGTCTTAAAATATTTCTAATACAGTATCAGCTCCCAAGTGAAGTGAAAATGCTATAATTTCTTTATCAAACTAGAGAAAAATCAATAGAGCTAACCACTTGAGAGAACAAAGAATAAAGGAAGTAAAATGTAGCTAAATAAATAAGCTTACTCTCCAAATGATTTTACATTTGAGTGTTAAAAAATGGAGACACCACATAGACATTCTTTAAATCATAAGTAATAATTCCTGGAAAAACTGTTCTTTTGCATCCACAAAGCCAGAGAAGGGGGTGGGTGTGTGTGTGTGTGTGTGTGTGTGTGTGTGTGTGTGTGTGTGTGTG